TTTGAAGCTTGAACTTTTTTATCCACAATATTGGAACCTTCAACTTTAACAATATTAGAACTTTTAAGATTTTTTTTGATACATTATCAAGCTCTTTTCTGTTTCTTCAAAAAAATTATGTTTATAATATCATTGGCAATTGAGAGAATTTTAAAGAAGTAATGCAAGTAGCAGGAGGAGTATTAGGTATTGGAATGGAATGACGTATTTTAATAATAAATGTGCTTGGCTATATATTAAATATTGAAAGCCTAACTTTGATTTATAATTCCAAAGTATTGGGAAATGAATTCAAAAATATGGTTTAATAAGGGTAAAATGGATAGAAACGGATAAATTATCCATGGATTTCATAAAGTGGAAAAGTATTATTGTCCATCTAAAATTTTAGATGAACAACTATATTTTTCCACTTTATGAAATTCATGGATAATTTACCTGTTTCTACCATTTTACCCTTACTATATCAGATTATTGAATTCATTTCCCAACACTTTGGAATTATAAGTCAAAGTTATATTTTCATTTCAACATCTAATAAATAGCCAATCACATTTATTATTAAAACATGTCCTTCCATTTCAGTGCCTAATACTCTTTCTGCTATATGCACTACTTCTTTAGAATTTTCTCAATTGTCAATAATATTATAAGCATAATTTTTAAAGAAATAGAAAGAGAAACAAAAAAGAGCTTGATAATGTATCCGGAAAAAAAAACCTTAAAAGCTCTAATATTATTAAATTTGAAGGCTCCATTATTGTGGATAAAAAGGTTCGAGCTTCAAAACGGAATATTGAAGATTCAAAAGTGAAGATTGAAGATATAACGATCAAAATTATTGAGTTGAAAGCTATCAGAAGTTTGACACCATAATTTATTTTCAAGGAAAAACGTACTGGATTTCTTGTGAATCTAAGAATGTAGTTATTGGATTGAAAAGTTTAAGAAGTTTTTATAGTTGACATAATTCTTTTAGTTGGATTTAATGAATTTTAATCATTTGGATGACTAATATTTAATAGCGATAGTTTGGTAAAATTACCCCTATCATTTACTACTTCTTAAAGGTGTGTCAAGTCAATAATGAACAACTATTATTGGACAGAGAAAGTATTAAAGTAGTAATAATTGAACATTAAGATGCTTTTATCCATTTAATTAAATACGTTTTTTTCATAAAGTTATGATATAGTAATAAGTATAAAAATTAGAATAAACACTTTTAAGTTATAAATAAAATAAATGCATATGACTTGTCTTTTTCGGATGCAAATTCACGGAGAATGTATTATTGGCTCGGGAAATTATCAGGGATATACACTTAAGAAGCAAGGAGGCTAATGTAGTGGTGAAGTTGGATATGGCTAAAGCATATGATAGAGTGGCTTGGATATTCCTAACTAAAGTCCTACGACAATTTGGTTTTTCAGAGATGATAATAGATATGGTTTGGCGGTTGATTTCTGCAAATTGGTACTCAGTACTGATTAATGGACAAAGTCATGATTTCTTTCACTCAACTAGAGGACTAAAACAAGAGAATCCTCTGTCTCCAACTTTGTTCATCATGGTTGCTGAGGTATTATCCAGAAGCCTCAATCAACTCAATGATCAGGAGTCTTTTAGAGAATTCAGAATGCCCAAATGGAGCCCTAAAATTAATCATCTGGCATATGTTGATGATATAATTTTATTTGGCTCAGGAGACAGGCATTCAATGATCCAAATGATGAAGGTATTGAGGGATTATGAAAGGGTATCAGGTCAGATGATTAACAAGGAAAACAGTTTTTTCTACCTACATGACAAGACTCCTTTGATTATCATAGTAAGACTGAGAAAACTGACTGGGATTAGGCCTGGTAACTTCTCGTTCACATATCTAGGTTGTCCTATTCCTATACTATGGAAGAAAGAAAAGAAGCTACTTTGAGGGTTTAATAAAAAAGATTGCTTCTAGAATATTCTCATGGCAGAACAGGTTCCTATCATTTGGTGGAAAATATATATTGATAAATCATGTACTGCAATCGATTCCGATCTACGTGTTATCTACTATGTCTCCACCAAAAAGTGTTATAGACCAAATCCATCAGCTCTTTGCTAATTTCTTCTGGGGAAACTATGCTGGAATTAGAGGTAAACATTGGGTAACTTGGATGGATATGTGCTACCCAAAAAGTGAGGGAGAATTAGGCTTCTATTTAATGTCCTATTTGCTAAACGGTGGTGGGCTTTAAGAACTCGGACATCTTTGTGGAGCACATTTATGTGAAATAAGTATTGTAAGAATCATCATCCCATAATGGCTCAAAATAGAGGTGTATCACAAGTCTGGAGGGAAATGGTAACAATCAGAGAAGATGTGGAACATGAAATATGTAGGCAACAGAAGAAAGGTACTGCTAGTTTCTGGCTGGAAAACAGGACTAAGCAAGGCGCTCTATATTATACAGAAATTAAAAGGAGTAGAGGAGGAAGTGGAGGTTAAAGAGATGATTCATAATGGGCAATGGGACACAGTAAGACTAAGGGTGTGTTTGGTATGAAGGAAAACATTTTCCGGAAAATGTTTTCCTTCATACCAAACACACCCTTAGTCTTACTGTGTCCCATTGCCCATTATGAATCATCTCTTTAACCTCCACTTCCTCCTCTACTCCTTTTAATTTCTGTATAATATAGAGCGCCTTGCTTAGTCCTGTTTTCCAGCCAGAAACTAGCAGTACCTTTCTTCTGTTGCCTACATATTTCATGTTCCACATCTTCTCTGATTGTTACCATTTCCCTCCAGACTTGTGATACACCTCTATTTTGAGCCATTATGGGATGATGATTCTTACAATACTTATTTCACATAAATGTGCTCCACAAAGATGTCCGAGTTCTTAAAGCCCACCACCGTTTAGCAAATAGGACATTAAATAGAAGCCTAATTCTCCCTCACTTTTTGGGTAGCACATATCCATCCAAGTTACCCAATGTTTACCTCTAATTCCAGCATAGTTTCCCCAGAAGAAATTAGCAAAGAGCTGATGGATTTGGTCGATAACATTCTTTGGTGGAGACATAATAGATAAAATGTAGATCGAAATCGATTGCAGTACATGATTTATCAATATATATTTTCCACCAAATGATAGGAACCTGTTCTGCCATGAGAATATTCTAGAAGCAATCTTTTTTATTAAACCCTCAAAGTAGCTTCTTTTCTTTCTTCCATAGTATAGGAATAGGACAACCTAGATATGTGAACGAGAAGTTACCAGGCCTAATCCCAGTCAGTTTTCTCAGTCTTACTATGATAATCAAAGGAGTCTTGTCATGTAGGTAGAAAAAACTGTTTTCCTTGTTAATCATCTGACCTGATACCCTTTCATAATCCCTCAATACCTTCATCATTTGGATCATTGAATGCCTGTCTCCTGAGCCAAATAAAATTATATCATCAACATATGCCAGATGATTAATTTTAGGGCTCCATTTGGGCATTCTGAATTCTCTAAAAGACTCCTGATCATTGAGTTGATTGAGGCTTCTGGATAATACCTCAGCAACCATGATGAACAAAGTTGGAGACAGAGGATTCTCTTGTTTTAGTCCTCTAGTTGAGTGAAAAAAATTTTAAGTTTGTTTTTAAAAAATGTTTTCAATTTCAGAAATTATTTTCTACTTTAGTAAAAATAAAAGATATTTCTCAAAAACATTTTTCATTCATAAATCAAACACTAATTTTTTTTCGTAAAATATTTTCTACTCAACAACCAAACATGGGAAATAAGTCAAAAATCTACTTATTTTCCAGAAAAACATTTTCAATGAAAAACATTTTCCTTCATACCAAACACACCCTAAGTCAATTGTTATCTCAGGAAATGGTGAAAATACATTCTAGAGACTATTAATCCCAATATGAACATGGTTGAATCAGACAAGGCATGGTGGATGGAAAATAATCAAGGAGACTTCACTGTTAGATCAGCTTTTCAGTTAACAAGGCAGAAAGAAGAAGAGAAAGAACGGATGAATAATATATGGATCAAGGGGCTATCGTTTAAAATCTCCTTCTTTCTTTGGAGGGTATGACGAAGGCGAATTCCCACAGATGATGTTCTTAAAAGAATGAAAGTACATGTGGCATCCAAATGTTACCACTGTAATGTGGGAGAGGCGGAAACAATGCAACACCTTTTTCAAACAGCTCCCATAGCACAAAAGCTATGGAAGCACTTTGTTTCATATGCAGGTATTACCATCGAAGGAGTTCACTTGCAACAACTTATTACTATTTGGTGGGACTGGCCAAGACAGTGTAAGGAGAAGCAAATCCTCAAGGCAATACCAACAATTATTTTGTGGGAGTTATGGAAAAGGAGGAATGCTAGAAAACATGGAAAGGAGGTGACATATGCTAGATTACTGGGGCAATGTCAACACACAATCCAAATGCTAATGAAAGTAAAATATCCTTGGGTTAGAGGAGGATCTCAAGATTGGATGGACATACTTACCACTCTTAGTATTTACAAGACAACACTATACTATGAAATAGTGTACCGGGAAAACCCAGCAATAGGATGGGTGAAATGTAATACAGATGGTGCATGTAGGGAAAATCCTGGACAAAGTTCATATGGCTTCAGCATAAGAGACAACAAGAGAGAGATAATATATGCAGATGCCCAAACCATAAGGGATGCAACAAATATGGAGGCTGAAATTATAGGGGTACTGAGAGCGACGCAGTTTTGTGATACTCATAACTTGAAAAAAAATTATACTGGAAACTGACTCATTGACACTCAAACACATGCTTCTAAAGCAGTGGAAAGTGCCTTGATCACAAATGTAAAAGATAGAGGACATACAACAGAATATATCAAGGAAACAAGTTCAAATAAGGAATATATTTCAGGAAGCTAATCAGTTCACAGACTATCTAGCAAATATGGCCCTAGATCAAGCAGAAAAGATAGAAGTAGGAAGTTTCTACAATCTACCAAGCAAAGGAAGACGGAACATTAACATAGACAAACAACAAATTCCGTCATTGAGAATTAAAACAAGGAGGATTAACCCAATAAGCTAAGCTAAGTGCAGTTACAAATCAGAAATACACAACGATAATATGTACAGATAAGAATTTTGTCTTCTAAGAGACGATCTAGTTGTATTGAAGCTTATTAGCCTAGAGCTACCTCAACTCACAAAAAAGGACAAGCAAAAAGTGGGGGATCTCAAACCGATAAATCACTGGAAGTGCAGACTCGATCCAGCAGGTCGATATACCTCAAAGCCTTCAGGAGGAGTGTCATGGTTAAATCCCAACAAAAAGTTCATCTTGAACTACAAACGCCTCCACCGGATTTCACATCTGAAAAAAAGATGAAGTTAGTTGCTAGTTTAGTTGGAGGTGGAACAACATCAAAAAGCAAATACCTCTGTTAGCTAATACAACACTTCCACAACCACGGATGGAGCACATTAATGACCAGAGAAAGAAAATGAGTAACGACAAGGAGAAGGGAACAAGAAACATGGGAACGGCGGAGAGTAGGATTGGGATTTATGGGAAGCTCTAATTAAGAAACCCTATTTTAGGGGAAGACTAGTACTTAGCTAGTCTTAAACTTCCTAATATGGGTCAGCTGAACATTTCTTATTTTGGGCTTATTTTCTGATTGTCTGTATCACTTTTTGGTGAAGAGAAATAAACGGACCACTGGTCCAAAGTATTTAATTAAAAAAAAATAAAAAAAAATAAAATATATATATATATATATTCTATATATAATAAGCTACAATGCAAAGTTTTTTATAGTATTTAGTTACATTGTAACTATCTTGTTAGCTTTCAACCAAAAGGAGTACTTCTTTTAAATAATATTCTATATATAATAAGGGGATAATACATATATTGGACCTTAAACTTGGCTTCAAATTTTAACTTTTGACCTCCAACTTTCAAAGTGCACAAATAGACACTTTAACTATCCAACCTTTTAATAAATAAACACGCGTGTCTTACCTGGCAAAACACGTGATGTGCACGCATTTCGCGCGAGTGAGAAGTAATTTTTGAGGCACACAACAGTGAAAAAAATGCTGAAATGACAACTCTACCCTTGATTAATTTTTTTTTTTAAGGTCTAAAATGGACGTGTAAAGTGTTTATTTAGTTGGCAGCCATTGAGTGGCTCAATAATACACGTGGCAGCGTGTGCATTACAGCTAGAAATATTTCAAAGACAAAAAAAATTGATTGAATCTCAAAAATTTTTTAGTACTACAAAAATTTAGAATGAAGAAATGACCTCTATTATTTGAAAATGGCGTAAAAGTATTACAAATCATACAATAAGAATTAACAATTTAAAATTTTAAAAGACTTTAATGCTTTATACTTATTCTATTTCCACTTTGGACAAAAATATCCTCCCAATATGCATATTTTTTTAAACAAAAAGTGGGACCCATTATTGATGTATTCAAGGATGCTTTGGTAATTTTCCTATGATGAATTCGTTTGTTTGTTGTTTAAATTTTTTTAAATAATTGTATAAAATATTATAAATCACAATAATTATTTACTTAAATATTCAAAAGATATAAAAATATGTAAAAGATCTGATTAACTCTTCAAATTTTATCGGTGACACATAAATTGGACAAATGAAATAATATATATTATTTGAAAATTACTTAGAAAGTACAATAATTTACAGTAATTAACAATAGAATATTTTAAAGACAAAAAAAATTGATTGAATCTCAAAATTTTCTTAGTACTTCATAAATTGAGAAAGAAGAAATGACCTCTATTATTTGAAAATGACGTAAAAGTATTACAAATCATACAATAAGAATTAACAATTTAAAATTTTAAAAGACTTTAATGCTTTATACTTATTCTATTTCCACTTTGGACAAAAATATCCTCCCAATATGCATATTTTTTAAAACAAAAGTGGGACCCATTATTGATGTATTCAAGGATGCTTTGGTAATTTTCCTATGATGAATTCGTTTGTTTGTTGTTTAAATTTTTTTAAATAATTGTATAAAATATTATAAATCACAACAATTATTTACTTAATTATTCAAAAGATATAAAAATATGTAAAAGATCTGATTAACTCTTCAAATTTTATCGGTGACACATAAATTGGACAAATGAAATAATATATATTATTTGAAAATTACTTACAAAGTACAATAATTTACAGTAATTGACAATAGAATATTTTAAAGACAAAAAAAATTGATTGAATCTCAAAATTTTATTAGTACCATATAAATTGAGAAAGAAAAAATAACCTTTATTATTTGAAAATTGCACAAAAGATATTACAAATCATACAACAATAATTAGCAATTTAGAATGTTAAAAGACATAAAATTTTTTTTACCATAGTTAACAATAATTTAAAATTTAAACTATTTTAAATTAATATTAAAGTTTGATTAACTCTTTAATTTTGTCTTTGTCACATAAATTGAAACAAAAAATGATACATATTGGGCCCGTGCTAGCACGGGCTCCGATGTCTAGTATATATATAAGCCTCAAAAACTCTTCCTTAAAGAAATTGTTTGAAATAAAAGAAAAGTATTAAGATTCTATATTTAAGAAAAAAAATTACAATGCTTTTCAACATATATTATAAAGAAAAGTCATCAAATTGCAATTAATCAACCATACAAGTATGCGTATAGAAAACAAAGTTAAAATTATTGATAAACAATTATTAATGTGAAAACTCCATCCATCTTTTGTACTTACCCCTAAAATCCACATTAAAACAAAAAGTAGAATAATATACATTGTAATAATCCGCAACATGATATAATATGAATTAGAAAAAAAATGGTATTTTACACATTAATGTGAAAATAATCCGAAATGAAATTTAACTCATCAATTGAGAAATCAAAATTTAAATAAAAAACGACATTAGATTAGATTATAATTAAACAAAAGAATTAAGCAATATCGCAACATGACAAAATACAATTCTACAAATATGATAATTTGTTCCAAATAAATTCAAGAATTTATAAATAGCAAACCAAATAAATTTCAATAATCTAAAATAGCAAAACAATTGAAAAGGTAGTCATCTAAAATGGTAATGATGAAAGTATGATGCACAATATCATTATTAAAATTGAGAAATCAAAATTCAAAAAAATACAATTATAATACTTTTTTCCCCAAATAAGTTCAAGAATTTATAAAATAGCAAACCAAATAAATTCAAGAATCTATAAAATAGCAAAACAGTAAAATAATCATCTAAAATGGTAATGATAAAAGTATGACACAAAATATCATTATTAAAATCTTATATAATATTAATATTTTCAAACAAAAACAAATAAAATAAAATGATACCTGTACTGCCTAAACAATCCCATAAAAAAGGAAGCAATTTGTGAACATAAAGTATTTCTCTTTGGCATAAATAGTTAGAGATTTATAGGAATTATTATGAAAGGAGACATTGACTTCACCTCCCCAATTGATTTTGAGACAGAAAAAACGTTTATTGACAAAAAAAAAGAAGAAGAGTATAAATAATAATTAAAAGAAATGATGAAAAGTTAAAAAATTGTATAAGAAGATTTAATGAATTAATCATGATCTTTAGACGTGGGGGGAGACGGAGGGTTGATTCTTTTTTACTAATAAATGTTGATATAATTTAATTACATTAATTATAGATAAAGAATAAAACATTAATCAAAATATTTAAATATCAAAAATCCCTAAAAAGAGAGAAAAAAAGATAAATATGAATGGAGTCATATAGAATTTTCACATCACCTATATATATATATA